TGGCTAAAAGACACCATCATCATCTTGCTCTCCAAGAAACTTGACTTAGCAAAGTTGATCTCCATGAAAATGGTGAAAACCAAGCTTCAATCTCTTTACAAATGGTTGGGGTTTAGTCAGCCAAGTGAGGGAATGAGAATGGTGAAGGAGTTTTATAGATTTAATGGCTAAAAGTGGTAGGATTAGGGCTGGACATGTAGAAGGAGATGAGAAAAAAATGAAGAACACTCAAGAACAAGTGAGAGAAAATGGAAGGAAATGAAATTTGTGTGTTGCTTTGAAAATCTGAGTAAATGGTGTGAATTAATTGTTCCTTTTAGCTGATCCTCTCAAAAGAAAACAAAATTAAAAAGCAATTGGGACCAAGTCACATGAAAAGAGCTCGCTAGATGGCACTCTTCTATTAACTTATAGATGATTCTAATGTATGTCAAGTTAATTTCATGCATCATCCACATTTTAAGTTTACCTATTCCACCCAATTAAGAGAGAAACATGCCCTACTCATCAGGTCTTGACCTCATGAAGCTTTGACCTCATTTGCCCAATTGATGTACAAGTCACATGTTACCTATGTTATAAAATACACATAATTTAATTTAATAATGTGTGAAATTATAAAATCTAATTAAAGTGCAGCTTTGTATTCATATTTAAAAGGAATAATTTATTAAAATATCCAATTTTTTAGGTGCACAAAATCATATAAAAATTTTTACACAAATGCAAACATAAAATTAGGTCAAACAAGCATATTTGAGAAAGTCAATGAAAAGTATTAATTTTTATTTAATCACTTCCAAACTAAGATGAATTTGTAAAATATAATTTTACCACTCTTCTTTTGCACATAAAATACATTTCATCAATTTTTTTCATATATTTTCTCAAAATTTTATTTTTGGACCAAAATACTTCCAGCGCACAAAACCTAAATACTTATACAAATTTTGAATTCTAATATAATGTGTGTATACTTGGAGATAATAAAACCTTATAAATTGTCCTAATTGGTATAGAAAAATGTATAATAAATATATTCTATCACTTACTTAGTGCCAACCAAATAGTTGCAATCTTGTGATGCATTAGGATTATAGGTCATCTCCTTCCATTGCATCAAACTAAAGGGCCATAAGGTAATGTTTGAGAGTTCTTTTTTAGATGAAATGAAATGGTTAGAAGCCCTATACCATTATTTGAGATTTTTTTTTTAAAGGTGGAATGGTTTGGGATGCTTTACAAGCCATCCCTTACCATCCCAATCTCATTTTTGTTGATATCCAATTTGAGAGATTAAGAATGGAATGGTACAATATAAATAATATTATTACAAAATTACATTCAATCTTCTCATCTCTTCTCATTCTTTCACTCCCCCCACTGTAAAATTAAAAAAAATAGTTATATCTAATTCAAATCTATTAATTTTATAATTATTCCTATGATTAAATAAAATTGTTTATTTCTTTAATAAAATTCCCAAGCAACACCACTTCACCCCATTTCATTTTATTAATACCAATTCCTTTACGTTCCATCATATAGTTATATCTAAGGCACCTTGGTATGATATGGAAAACAATTTTCATTATATATATATATATATATATATATAAATTATGCTTGTATTTTTGGTTGTTTCTGCTTCTATTATTTAGTGGCGTTTATCCCCTCATTATTTCAAGAAAGAATGACCAAAAGAATATATTCACGAAATATACAATTAATTACTGCAAAATATGATAATTATTATTTAATTCTTAAGGACTTTTTTGGTTTTCTTTTTATTTTTGATGAAATGTTATATGTACTCTCTGTGATTATTATAGGAAATGATTAATTTAATTGTTATTGATTAAAACAAAATAACAATAATTACTTTTTTTTTTGTAAATTTAGTTAACAATCAAGTATAAATATGATATCCTTTCTACAGATTCCAGGGTACCAACTAATAAATAATTAACACTAATCCAACAAGTTTACTTTGTTCAAGATGAGAATCAAATCTGAGAAAAGATTTGTCCCTGTTTTTATTATTTTTGTTTATCATGCAATGCGTCTCTATTCTCTGCTTCCAAAGAGGGGAAAGTCAATATTAAATATCATAGCATCCTTAGTCATCACTTAAAAACTTCATCAAAAAAGGAAAAAAAAAAAGTCCTACTTGTCAAAATGCTTATACATCAGAAATAATTAAATAACTATACATGATCGTCTACTACGTTACTTTCAAAAAATAATTCATGTTATTAATCTTATACTAATCTGTTAAAACTTTGATGTTCAAGGCAGATTGCTCAAAGGATAAATTGATCATACCAGGCCTTTTCCAGAGCAATAAGGACTTGTTGGCCAAAATGAAACTAGTAAGACTATTCTACCTCAACGAAGCATATATATAGCATCAACCATATCATACATCTAAGGAAGCAAATATTATACCAATGTAACATAAAGTTGTAAGTTGGTATATTCAACCAAACCATAGCATAAAACTTGCCAGTCTAAAACTTGTTAATGAGATCACCCAGTACAAATTGGAAGAGGCTTTTTCCGCACTCAAAAATCAAGGATCCCACCAACATCTAATCATAATATAGGCACTAATGACACAAGAGTTACAAGCAAAATGGAACCCAAACCCTTCTATTTTCAATTTAGGAAAACCTACATGTTATTAGATTACAAGGCTATTCACATAAAAAGCAAACATTGATCATCAAATTCCAAATTCATGATATCATCCCATCAACTTTGTAGTAAAACAGGGGAACAGTGTAATGCTTATAATGCTTTACATATTTTATATGAAGGAATTGCGAACACTGTTGTACTCACAATTATAGAATGCTTCAATTACACTCTTAATAGTATTCTGGCAATCAAATTTATTTGGATACTTAAAACAAAATTTTCAAGACATATAATTATAAAAAAAATTGTCACTTCTGTCAATTAAACTCAACTCTTTGATCAAATTGAAGCCACTCACTATTAAGATCCTGTGTGTTCTTTGCTCTATTGTTTTACGGAGATTTGGGAAACTTTAAAGAAAGCACTTGAAAAGGATATTGAATGATGTTGAGTTAATAAGCAAACAAACTTAGATAATGAGTCTTGTTAAACATTCAATAATGGACCCATCAATGTAATGAATTTCTTGTTCAAAAAGGCAAGTCTGACTCATAATTTTTGTGTCCCATAATATCAAAAGCGAATGATGAAATTAAGTTAGATATGTGGAGCTTCTAAAAGAAGCAGTCGTTGATGAGTGCTAGCATTGAGAAACGAGAGAAAAAAAAAAATAAGGTTGGTAGAGACAGACATGAGAGGCATTCATTAATAAGACTTCGGACACAAACAAACAGAGAGAGAAAAAAGACAGACAAGTAGGACCCTCCTTTGGTTTCATATCATTGGGTTCTGTATATTAAAGACACAGCACATGGCATCTTCTCTTCCCATTTCTCTCCTCTTGTTCCCCTCTTCTTTTCCACTTTTGCTCCCATGCCCCTCCACTTCTGCTTCATCACATTTCTGCCCCTTATCTTTGTCGTGGTGCTTTTCAATTTGATCACACTACTTAAACTTGTTACTTTTACATCGCATTTAAAATTGTTAGAGTTTTTAAATAAATGAATAATATTATTTGCTGTTTAGGAATAATATAATTTTTTTTAAGATTTGATATTTAATATTGATTAATTATATTGACCATGTGCAAATGTAATGAAGACTAATTAACACTTCCTTTTTAAATCACATTAACCACAACATTTTTAAATGTGACTTTAATAATTTTATAATTTTCTTTATTATATATCTTCATCTTTCACATCTTTTTAAATTACTTTTAATTCAAAAGAATAGCAAAACTATATAACAAAGTCTCAAATTTGTAGCGTTGGAGGAGATGTGGAGGAAGTACAAACAAATAACACTGAAAACGGTACAAAATTCAAATAGAGAGACAACTCTCATGGGTAGTTTATGTTTATATATTGAGAAAATATAATTTCTAATTCTTATAATTTTATCAAATGTTGTTTTTAATTTTTATAATTTTTATCAATATTTTCAATCTTTATAGGAATTGAAACATTGAAATTATAGGGATTTGAATAATAAATGTAACTAAATTTTGTTAAAACTATGAAGATTGAAAATATTAAAAAAATTACAGAAACTAAAAATAAAACTCAATAAAATTATAGAGATAAATGTTTATATTTTTTTCTTATATTTTTTATATTCTGTAATTATATACATCTATGATTACACACTGGGCCTATTTGGTCCCCTTTTCTCTTAATATTCAAGTTTTTAAATAATGATGGTGAAGTTAATTAATTTTTTTTCATAAATTATCAACACTATATTTCATTCTAAATCCTGAAATCTCATGCGAAGATGGGGAGTCATACCCTAATTTATCAAAAAGAAATATTTCATTATTTGGTGCTTATTATTTTGGACGCCATGTCTTATGAGTAATTTGTATTTATATTTTTTATATTCTATAATTGTGTGTGTGTGTATGATCACTACTTAATCATTATACTTATATTTTATTTCGATCTTATTCATTTTAATATAAATCATTCAATTATTATTATTTCATATTGTTACCAAATTAATTTTAATATGAAAACATGAAAATAATTCTCATTCAATTTTTTATTTTTATTGAATTATACCTAACATTAACATTTCTTTTCATGGGGTTTGCCGCAAAAAGCCAAAAACAGAATTAAATTAAATCCCAGCAAACTCCATGGCCGAAAGGGAAAACCCCACATTCCCCAGCAAAATCACCTCCGTTAGCCGACAAATTAAAATTTAAAAATATCTTAAATTTTGAAAAAAAAAACAAAAATTATTATCATCATATTCTGATATTCATCATCATTTTGTAACTGAAAAAAAAAAAAATCTAATAATTTTTTATTTACCGAAAAGACTAGCTCACAGATTGAAAAGCATCCGTCTCAGCCGTTGCATCCTAGCTGTAGGCTGTAGATGATTTCGCTGTCACAGTAGCTCCTCCGCCTTCCTCTTCCTCTCATAATCTCTCGGTATCTTCTTTTTTACTTTGTTTCTGAGAAGTCGAAGCTAGGAAGCCTCTTATGCTTGAGGTGAGGATTTCCACATTATCATGTGAAACCCTTACCTGGTGGTGGTAGCTAGGGAGGTTCCTGAAGATCAGTGACGGGATCAACCTCTTGCTGGTGGGAATGGGCAATTGTTGCAAATCTCCCGCTGCCGTTGCTAGGGAAGACGTGAAATCGAACTTCTCCGGCCACGATCACGGTAAGCGGGACTCCAACGCCGGCAAGAAGGCTCCGATCACTGTCTTGACCGGGGTGCCGAAGGAGAATATAGAGAATAAGTATTTGTTGGATCGAGAGCTTGGTCGTGGGGAGTTCGGGATAACTTATCTGTGTATTGATCGGGGAACTAGGGAGCTGCTGGCTTGCAAGAGCATTTCGAAGCGGAAGCTTAGGACGGCAGTGGATGTTGATGATGTGAGGCGTGAAGTGGCCATAATGAAGCACTTGCCTAAGAGTTCCAGCATTGTGAGCTTGAAGGAGGCTTTTGAAGACGACAATGCTGTGCATTTGGTCATGGAGTTGTGCGAGGGTGGTGAGCTGTTTGATCGGATAGTGGCACGTGGCCATTATACTGAGCGAGCTGCCGCCGCGGTTACGAGGACGATTGTCGAAGTCGTGCAACTTTGTCACAAGCATGGGGTTATTCATAGGGACTTGAAACCGGAGAACTTCTTATTTGCTAATAAGAAAGAGAATTCGCCTTTGAAGGCCATTGATTTTGGGCTGTCTATCTTCTTTAAACCAGGTAAAAAAAAAAAAAAAAGAATACTGACCTGAAATGTGGTTATTCTTGACTTTGGAAACCTCAATCTCATTTGTAGAAAGGCGGGAAAATTTAATTGCAAATAAGACTACTAGATGTTAATAATTGTCTAAATTGTAAATATCTATTCGCTTGGAATTCGGTTGAATGCGAAATGCTTATGTTACTGGGAATGAATGATTACCTATGGCTTGGTCTATGTTAATTATCGAGCCATTTACTTGATCGGTCAATAATTGGAACTGTTTTGGACATGTAATCCAATTGTTGTGCAGTTGTGCTATGATACATTTATTCTTTGAACTGCTCTGTTGGTGCTACTACTTTATGAGATGCTTACCTCCTCTATGTAGCATTCGGATTAGGAGTCAATATTTTTCTCTTTTCAGATGTCATTTCATTGATATCCCTACGGGCTGTATGCTTCTCCTAAGACTACCTTTATAATCCTCCAACGTATCTCGTTACGAGTTATCTTCAAGCAATTATTGTGGTTTCCCTCAAAGAGTTAGTGCTAGCCCTTGCACTTATATAGTACTAAGTTAGAATTTCTTAATATATCCAAGAAATTATTCCTTAATGAGATGAAATGTTGCCAATGTACCTTGATGAAACATGTTATTTCATACTTGCTCAAATTACGATATTCATGGTGGAAATAGAAAGAATATCAAGGTTATCTATACTCATACAGTTTAAAGAAAAGGTGGCAGAAAATGTTACCTCAAATATAGTCCATCTTCAAATCTGTTATGGAGGAATGCATTCTTTGGCAAAAGATATTTGGAAAAATTTGTTGCAAAATGTTTTGAAGTTAAATTTGTGTCATCTAAGAAGTAATGATAAATTTATGAAAGAAGAGTAGATGAAGTCCTGCTTCACTTATATGAGAAATATTGCTTATGTATACTATAGGAGGTAGTTAGGGATAGGGAGAAAATTGAAACTTTGAGTTGCAAACGCAATCTTTGACGTGAGGCACATTGAAATTAGGTTGAACACTTAAACTCACATGCACTCTTCCAATTCAAACTTTCAAGAGAATTCTGCCACAAATTATACTGATCTATTTGCGTTGGGCTGGCTATCAGGAATCACTCCTTATTAGAGAAGGACTATATGTTCTTTTGGCAGTTACCTCACTAATTTATGATACCATAAAACACTTTATTACTAAACAAAATAGGAAGCATGGTTACATGCTAGTTCTAAGTCTATGCTGACATGTGACAGTGAAAGAAAAGCATGCCTTATGCTTGGTAGTCGCATAACTACCATGCTAGTAGGGTTTGTTACAATTGCAATGGCAATATGCTGCTACAAATGACTAAAAGAGGCTATTTTAACACTAGCAGAAATGTAATCACCTTACCGTCTTTTTTGCATGCAGTCTGTCCAAAGATTTACAAATAATGGGATGACATTTTATTCGTTTTCTCATGAAGATAACATTGAAAAGCACTGAGTCAGAAACCATATGGCATCTTTGTTTCATATTCTGCATTCAACTGTTCATTCCTTTAACCACAAATGTGGCGTGGTGTTTTAAGATATTGCTTTCATAACTGTAAGCTAAGAACTAGGTCATGTTAAACATTATGTTTCCATTTTTTGGTCATTTCTTATGGTATCTGGCATTTGTTTTTCTAAATTCTAGAATCTTATTTTTTGGTATATGTGAATTATCAGGTGAGAGGTTCTCAGAAATTGTTGGAAGTCCATATTATATGGCTCCAGAGGTGCTCAAGCGGAACTATGGGCCAGAAATAGATATATGGAGCGCAGGAGTAATTCTTTATATCTTATTGTGTGGTGTTCCCCCATTTTGGGCTGGTAATTACCTTCCAAACCCCTAAAATATTTGCTTGACCCTTCTTCATGCTCTTCTCTCTGTGTACGGACATTCATTCCGGGCCTTGTGTATCAATGTTTGCATGCTTATGCCATAGTTCTAGTATGGCTCTGGATCTGTGTGCTACACTGCTACTGTGTGGCACTATATGGAAATGCATATTGTAATCAAAATGATTTGTATGTAAAAATAAGATATTATACCAGGTGATTCTGGCTTCTGTACTTGCATTATTCCCTCAGATTCCAATTAAACCATTTGCCTTAACTTGTAGTTAATTCTAATGCAGAATCTGAACAAGGTGTGGCGCAGGCCATTCTTCGTGGGCTAATAGATTTTAAACGGGAGCCTTGGCCCAGTGTTTCTGAGAGTGCTAAAAGTCTTGTTAGGCAAATGTTAGAACCGGACCCTAAGCTTCGACTAACTGCTAGGCAGGTGCTTGGTATGTTTCATCTCTCTTGCTAATTATATCTTAATCTAAAATTAACACCAAATTTTAGCTGTAGGACTTAGACTGTGCTGCATTTTGTGCTGCTGCGCAGTTATGAGGTACAAACTGCTATGTCTATGGATGCTTTGCCTTAAGTTTACTGCTTAGTTACCTTAGTTTTCTCATCTAGGAATAGAGTTTCCATTTATGTCCATTAGTCAATCATGTGTGTTTTTTAAAAGTTTATATCATAATTGAATTGATAAGGTCAGTACAAGTAATGACAGTACAAGCCTAGAGAAACATTTGTGTTTTTTAACCATTAAAATATTTGGTTCCTTTGCTTGGATTTCAATCATGCGGATTTTCTATGATTTAATATTTTGGGAAAACATAACTTTTGTTCTAGGTCCAAGGGAGGGACTTAGAACACTAGAAAATGAAAGTGTAAGGACCCAGGACACTGACATCTAGGGACCTATAACAAAACATGAGCAAAGTGCAGAGGCCAAAAATTATGTTTTTGCTAATATTTTTCATATTCTTAACAAGCTTAAACTTTTTTCTGTATTTTTTTTTGGGGGGGTCAAATTTAATGTTTGAAGGAGACATGATGAATGACTAGAGATGTTTTTCGAATAAGAAATTATTTGTGACACATCGGAAAAGAAGTTTCTGGACCTACAATAGTATGACATGAACAGTCTAGGATGCTAAGCTAATTCATATAACTGGAATAAACTAGGAGCTTTGTCCATGAAGCCTGAAAACTGTGATGCGATGACATCAAAGATAATATTCTGCAGGTTTCATTTCACCAGCGACTGTTTTGTGGTCTATCAGAATTAGCTCAACAGTTACTAGGAGAATCATATTAATCACAATGTGATGACTCTTGACTCTTGCATTGATGTTCCCTGAGATACAAGATTTGTACTTGGCATGTAAATTTGTAACTGTTGGCTGTCTCTTAAACTCTAAAAAATGATGTTTAATCAAATTACTTTTATGTTAAGTTCTATATCAAGCCTTGCCTGTTGCTCCCAAAGAATGCATGATGTTAGTTGTGTTTTTCTTTTCCATGTTTTCAGAGCATCCTTGGCTCCAAAATGCTAAGAAGGCTCCTAATGTTCCTCTGGGAGATGTTGTGAAGTCAAGGTTGAAGCAGTTTTCAATAATGAACAGATTCAAACGAAAAGCGCTAAGGGTTAGTTATCTGCATCTGCTGATATATTTAGCCTGTGGTTTTAATGTAATATCCCCTGCAAGTTGGATCTGAACGTCTATATCTTAAGCAGGTCATTGCTGATTTCTTATCCACTGAAGAAGTTGAAGACATCAAGGAAATGTTCAAAAAGATGGACAGTGATAATGATGGCATTGTTTCCATTGAAGAACTAAAGGCTGGATTTTGCAACGTTGGATCCCAACTTGCTGAGCCTGAAGTTCAGATGCTTATTGAAGCTGTATGGTCAACTTTCTCTTTTTACACCAATGCTTGCATGAATTATGATAAAGTTTCCACATGTAACATCAATTTGACATCTTATTGACTTAGGAAGTAGGAACTTTAAGAATTGTTAACACTATGCTAAACATGGAACTGAGAGCCGAACTGCATGGGATACCATATATGATTATATAGTATTTTGTTCATGATATTTTCTAAAAATCACATCGATCTGGGAACTCATTGTTCAGGGATATATATTTATTAAATGAGGCCTTCTTTTGTATTCTCTCTGGGACAAACATTTTTATGTAATTTCATATTTGAGTTTATTATTAGCCATTGCTGGACTACAAAGTTCTTCTGTGTTGTTGATGCTTGATAGTTGTCTTGCTACATAAACTGATGGGGTTTTCTAACACCTTTTAGAAACTAAATTGTTTGGGGATTAATCTATAATTTTTTAGATTATTTGTGATGTTTTATTTTCCTCAATCCCTTATCTCAACTGGCAAGGGGGCAAAAAGCTTAGTTTTCTCGCCTCATCTCTGCATTTCTTTAATCTATATCTTTACCTTTGGTCTGTTTATTTTGATTGCATTATTTTATGCCAATGGAGAGCTTTTGTTCTGGCAGAAATGACATCTCACTCACAAGATACAATTTGGACATTTTAGGACTCAAGTGCCTGGGAGAAGATATGATGACGAGACTATAATTTTAATATGAAGTGTTTACTTTCCCTATATTGGCTAGTTGTTGTTTCTTACATGGTAGATTTTGCATTTCATAAGGCAAGTTAAATGTTTCAGGGATACTAAGATATGATTGTATGAATGTGCAAGAGGTAAACCATTGTTGTTTAGCCTGTTATAGTAATGTTGATTGACAACAGGTAGATACTAATGGGAAGGGAAGGCTGGACTGCGGAGAATTTGTTGCTGTTTCCCTCCATTTGAAACGGATGGCTAATGATGAGCATCTTCGCAAGGCCTTCTCCTATTTTGACAAGAATGGGAATGGCTATATCGAACCAGATGAGCTCAGGGATGCTTTGATGGAAGATGGCGAAAATGATTGTACAGATGTAGCAAATGATATTTTCCAGGAAGTAGACATAGACAAGGTGGAAATTTGGTAGTTTTTCCTTTTTAACCATTCTAATACAATCCCGCCCTGACATTCCTGTTCAATCACAGGATGGACGTATCAGTTATGATGAATTTCTGGCCATGATGAAAACTGGAACAGATTGGAGAAAAGCATCTCGGCATTACTCACGAGGGAGATTCAACAGCCTGAGCTTGAAATTGATGAAGGATGGTTCTCTAAACCTAGGGACTGAATAGTAATCTAAGTGGCCGTTTTCAATCTGTCATTGAAAATAGTGTAGTGTTTCTTCTACATTCCGGACTTGCCTTTGTGATGATCATTCGGATCCGTTGACAGATGGGGGCTTTTCTACTTGGTCACACGGGAGTCGCACTAAGCAACTTCGTTACTTGTGTAAAACCGGTGCCTTGGAGCCAGCCATTGGTATGACATGTATGCCTCCACACATTTTAACCACTCCCATGATGTCAAATCAGACTGTTTAAAACCAGTCAGAGTATGAAAAAATTCCAATGTCTTGTAGTTTTGCATTTGGGCAAACACCCTCCTGGCTAGGACGTAGTTGTTTCCTCCAAGGCACCCGAAAGCTGCTTATGTTGGGGAGTACTTTGACAAAATTTGGTGTCGATTTGTATCACGAGCCTGTAAGATACATCTTTGTAACCAGGACCAACCCTGCTTGCCAATTGTCAATATATGGCGTGTCATGTGGTGTTGGATTTTCACGATTGATCTTTCAGAGCTACTAGCAAAGGTAGAGCCGGTCCACTTGTATCTATCTTCTCTCTACCTACTTCCTACTGTGTTTTTCTATTTCACCTCTTTCCTTTTCTTTCTGTTTTTCCCCCTTTTTCCTTTTTTCTTTTGAGGTTCAAAACTCTTGCAGCTCTATTTCATCGGAGGCATTCAATAGATCATTTTTGTAATCCTCATTATGCAGATGTTTAGCAGCATTTATGATTTTATGCGTACATACAGTGGTAGCTTTGTTAGCCAATGATATATGGTACATATATTCGTTTTAATTACAAAGACAGCCAAATTAAAAAGAGCCATCAACATTCATCTTATAGAAGCCCACTTCTTGTCTCTTCTCCTTGCTAGCTTGCGCCTTTGATACCTAGGCTTGGGTCTTGATCAGTTTAACAGGCCGCAGCCCCAATGTTTTCACCACGTTCTTGTCTTCTCTAGCACCCAATCCGAAGTACGAGACCTTGAGGTACACATTTTCGTCCGACAAAGAGGTTACCAAGCTTGAGTCGCCGTTTCTGAAGCCTGTAGCCGACTCATCATCCAAGCTGACGTTCTCACATTTTTCTGAAACTGGCGTGATGGACTTTGTGGAAGGCCGAGGCAGAGACATCAGAGAGCACCGTTAACGCAATCCAAGCGACACATTATTGCGGTCGCTCTTGTGGGAACTGACATGCAAGTTACATCGAACAAAGAAGCTCTCTGTGAGCAAAGGCTTCAACCATGGCGGCCACCTATTGTACCCGTCGTCAGGACCTCCGGCAGCACCCTTTTCAAGATCAACCATCGAAACAGGAAATCATGATTAGAATCACACCCAGAAACTAGAAACTTCAAAACAGAGCACCAATAAGAGCACAGACCCAACAAGAGAAACAAAGAAATCAAAATGAGAAATACTCGCAAGTGTTAACTAATTCCATGATTCTCCTGTCCTTGGGCTTAATTTCCTTCACAAATGTGTCCTAAACTTCGTGCACAATCACATCGAGTGACAGAACCTTCATTCAACGCCAGGATTTCACACTTTGACGTTACCCAGCCGGGTGGTGAGATCGATGTTCATGTGTATCATATAAACTGATCTTATATTATTAATATATGGATCTTTTGATGTTATTTATAAATGTTTTGTTATAAATTAGTTAATTATAGCTTTCAATGAATTAGATTATTAGGAGGATGGCTTTTACATCTCATTGTGCAATAACATTTATTGGAGCTTCAGCTTCTAATCTTTTGATAGTCAGAGATTGGATAATGTGTTGTGAAAATATGAACATTATCTTGTTAATATTAGATATTTAGTTGTATATTATCCAGATATGATGCATTTGTTTTTTGAAAATTGAAAGAAAACATATTGCTAATATATAAGGATCTCGTGCAGATTTTCAAGTTTGCTGCCCATTATGGTCTGTGTAACTTGTACATTTTAAATTAACTTACAGATCAACTAGATATGCATGAACATTATATTAAGAATTCATGAACATCATATTGCGCATCTATGGACATTGAGTAGTACATAATCTACTTAACTTGTGCATTTTAATTAACCTATAAATCATTTAGACACGTTTGGACATTGTGTTGAGAATCTATGAACATCACATTTTGTACCCATGGGCATTGTGTTGTACATACCCTATGTAACTTATACATTTTAAATTAATGTACAAATCAACTGGACACACATGGATATCGTGTTAAGAATTTATGAATATTGTGCTGTGCACTTATGAATATTGTGTAGTATATACTTTGCGTAATTTGTATATTTTGATTAACCTAGAGATCATCTGGACACACGTGAACATTGTGTTGACAATTCATAAATATGTACATCCATAGACATTCTGTTGTGTATGCAATGACATCGTCATCAAATACTTAAACACAATAATTTCATTTCATTTTTACTAAAATATATACATAATTCCAACTACAAACTAAAAACCAATTCCAAATTTTAAAAAAAAAAGCATCTTAAAATATATACATTATCCAACTAAAAAAACCTAATTCCATATTTCTATGATTTTCTTCTCCTTTGCTTGTTCCTGTAAGTGCAAGTAGGCATTCACCCATGATATTATTGGGATGCTTTACTAGCCAGTACAAAATATCACACCTAATGCCTGATAGCTCTTAGGCTGTATATTTAGGCATGGTAAATGAAGGGTAGTCAACATTCATGATACTGTCTTAGAATTTAAGCCATGTCATGAGATGAACTCCACAATCATCACTGCACAGATCGTGTAATAAAGTGAAATATGGATCAAAGTTTATTCTTTTAAAAAGATTAATATGTTATACCAACATAGCTTACTTATTCTCTTGCTTGAATACACATGGATAAATTATGTCATTTTTGCACTCCACCTTAGATAATTATGGCTTTACCTTGAGTAATATTAATATGAAATGCCCCCTCTATAAAGGAAATAGGCAGGTAACATACATGAAAAGGTTCACAAATACACAAGTAAAATTTTACTAATTCACAAGTCAATGTTCATAATTGACAGGTTAATACATTAGAGTCCAAAGTATTTCCACCCATCAATGTTTAGATTTGCTTTCAAGTCCTTGTTGTCATTCAAATCCACCCTTCTACCATTAGGTAGCCCCATAATTTGCTAAATGTCTCCTATTCTTACTAGTACTTTTCCCTCTTATAGTCATTTTCTTTGTCAGAGGATCATAAGATCACATTATCTCTTGGCATAACTCTCTTAAGATTTTCACACCTTCGACATCTAGCAATTTAAAAGACCCAGCTATCTCAACCTTCTCTTTTAAATGCTCCTTCTCTTTTATAAAGTTTGCAATTTCTTTAAACTTTGCTAGAGAACATTGAGTGTTGAAAGGAATTCAATTTTTTTTTTTCTGTATTCTCCTCTCTCTATATTCAATGGCCTTAATTCTATAAGGCTTCCTCTCCTCTTAGCTCATTTTTTTCCACATTTCAGTTGAAGCTTAATTTTTGTATTTTTCTTTATTACTCTCCAAGAATTCTCTTTTAAACTCATGCCATCTTGTAATTAGGAATGGCTTTTTTTGGTTTGTTTAGAGCCATTTTATGCTATGCACCTGCACAAATTAGTAATCCAAAAGTTCAGAGTTGACAAGTTCAAGAATTGGTAGAATTAAAAATTTTACAACTTAAACTTTGAATATTTACAACTTCACGTTCATCCTTTCACAAGTAAAATTCCAAAATTTTCGACTTCACATTTTCAAAACTAAGGTTTATTAATAGCAAGTAAAGCTTTCATTTTTTACAACTACAAGTTCACAATTTCTCAAGTATAGTTTCATAGATTAACAAATAAGAGTCTAGAATTTGTAACTGTGGAGAATCAAAAATAACATTTCAATCAGAGCAAGTATAACTTTTGAATTTTACAACTACAAGTTTATAGTTTCACAACATGATTTTTAGATATTAACAAGTAAATGTCTATTGATAATGAAATTCTTATTTAAAGTTGACAAGTTGTTGGCCAACTTTAGAAATTTATAACTTTAAGTTCACTTATTCACAACTATATATTATTAGATTTACAACTAAAGGTCCAAAATTTCTAACTTCAAATAATAAGCAAAAATGTTCAATGACAAAAAGTTTGGCATTTTACAACTAGAAGGATGCTGAGGCTTCATTTAGGGCCTTTTGAGTTTACTTAGTAGACAAAAGGGGTAGCTAGGCCCCAACAAAAATTTGCGACTACTTTTCCTTAAGAAAGATTTAAAATTCTAGGACTTTTTTAGTTCCATTTGCTTGCAATTGCTTAGTCCAAACAGAATGAGAAACATGGTCTAAGGCATTTAGATACTAAAAGCTCCTATACAGTGTTAACCAAATAATTTTTTTGGTAATAACCCAGGTAAAATCCTTTCGAATGTCAATGGCTACCAGTCAAACAAAGTAAAGGAATAGTGCAAACAAGATATGAGAAACTAGAGCCAAACAAATCAATCACAACCCAAAGGCAAAAGTACACATGAGAAGAGTGAAGGAGAGAGAAATTACCTAAAATAGGTCCGATATGAAATAGAGCTTTAGAATGGCAGAATCATTGAGTTGAGGATATATGAGGAAGGTATCTGATGTGATAAATCTAAAATCAACTGCTAAACTTGATATGCTAAGAAGAAATTGTGATTGTCGATTGAAGAAAGAAGAAAGAAGAGATAGAGAAGAGGCTGGCAAGTTGTGAATTTAGGTGCGGGATTAGTGAGAGCCTTGGATAGAGCAGAAAGTACATGAAAATATTGGAATCCTAATAAGAACATAGTGTATAATTTTTTGGGAGAAATGACTGTTACTTCGTGGATAAGGGTTTCGTGCACCTTTTATGTTTTAAAATCACATGAGTGCAAAATGATACTTTTGCTCTCAACAAAAATTGTGATAAGGGCTCTTAAGCCTGCAATGCATTATCAAAGGCCCATACTATAATTTTCTGTGTTTTAAAGGGCCCTTAGTGCGATTCTCCCTTCCCCCCTTAAATTAATATTAGGGTGCCATGTATATCATATACAGGGCCTACATTTTTAAGATAGCAATCGTTTGCTTTAATTTAATGGCAAGTACAAAAATAATGTGATCTTGAACATTTAGGAGTAGGAATGAATCAAAGTTAAGTTTAATATACAAGATACTCTTGAATATATAATTTAAGGGTAAAAATAAATTTTAATTGTTTTTTATACAAAAAGTTTAGGTGAGTTGATTGAAAATATTAACGCAAAACATGTCTTTAAATTTAAAGAATGTATGCACACGTGTGACCTATTAATAAGATTATGAGATTTGAATTTATAATCTTATAAAAAAATTAATATTCAACTTCATATTAACCTCATCTTTTTTTTATTGCTTATAGGTATTCCTCTATTAAAGGCATTATTATTAGATACATGAATAAATACTAAATGTGAGTATTTCTTTTAATGAAGGTTCAAATTTTGGTTTGTCATACAATGGAAGACTAATCCCCTCTATTTGGATTTGCTTTTAAAATCAATTAATTGTACAAAAATCATGTTTTGGAAAAAAATTACAAAAACACCTATATTACATGTTAAAATTAATTATGAATCCAAAATTATATTGTCTTAAAAATATTCAAATACCCATTATGCATGTTAAAATTAATTATAAATCCAAAACCATAGTTTTCTTATTATGTCAA